AGGCAGACTTCTGCCAGCTTCTAGTGCCAGGGAAGCCCTGGACAGTAATCAGTACCAAACCTCTGGGTAGGACCACCCAAGGCACAAGGCTGTGAATCGAACCTCCTTCCTACCTTTGTCTGGTTTCTTGGCAACTTCTTCTTAGTCCCAGCTTCACTCCCACTTACCTGGAGAGGAATTCCCAAATGGGAATCATTCTAAAGGGGGGGCGGGACCAGAAGGAACGGTTGGAAAGCCACTCTCAGAAGCTGGAAGGGTCCTGAGGAAGAGGGTTCTGGTTAGTTACATCATCCAGGGCTTCAAACTTTAATAAATATTGATTGATGGGTGGAAGTCAAAGCTAAATCTGAAGGAAGGCCTACACATGTTCAAAGATTTTAAGCTAGAAATGTTTTCCTTCCAACTATTCCTAAGAGGAAGTTACATAGGGAAAGCAAAGGAGTGATTAAGGAACTACAGGGGCAGCGGCAGGCCACTTTTCTCTAGGGCCTTCCAAGTTCCCAGACCAGGCCTGCTGCCTGCTTGGGAGATGAGCCTGTGCTGTCAGACAGTTTCTCCTCTCCGGACATCTTTCTGCCATATGTTCCTTCTCGAATTCTGGAGGCACTTGGCTCTCTTGGGTAACTGCAACCTGAGCCTGGAGAACTTTGGTCCACCCCTCTAAGGAGCACTGACTGAAGCCTGGAAGTAGAAAGGATAGGCGCAGTGACCTTTGGGCTTTGGAAGGAATCTCCCCAGCCTGCAGCTGGGAGTGCTGGGAAGAGTGACAGCCTGGCGCCATTCTGTAAATGCATTTGATGCACCTTTGGTTCCTTACTGGGTAAATGTACTGTTTTGAATTTCCCTGTAGAATTGTCCTGATAGTTTTAAATTACAATCCAGAATCTCAACAAATTTCAAATGTTGTGTATAAACATAATCAGTGCAGATCCAATACATTTTTAATTGTTCATAGGAAAAACAAAAGAAAGCACACACTCAAATACCTCACCCCCCAAATAAAAACAGGTGATGGGGGGGACAATTTTGAGGGTGTTGCTTGCCTTGAGAATTTGCTTCCTAGCGGATGTGTCGAATGCAGCCCACCGGGCTGCCGGACTCCCAGTGCTGGGTGATGTGGGGGCAGGAGGACACTGCAGCTTAGACCCTATAGCTGAGACATATGGGGGTAGTCCGCAAGGAGAAGCCTCTCTTGAGTGGTGAAGGGTCCCTTGAAACTTTTGAGTTCCGGCAACCTTCCTGGCATGCCCAGAAAACACCCAGTGTTGGGAGGGGACCCTGTCGCCTGCCTTTCCTTCCTGGGTGGCTGCAAACCTGTCCCTTTCCCTGAGCACGCTAAGACTCTGCCCTTGAATTCCAACTCAGAGCGTTGGGAGTACATTCTGTGCCCCCATAGTCTTCAAAAGCCACACCCTTTGCTAGAGCGAGGGTTCCCGGCCTCTGGCTTCTTGAGCTGAGGCTGGAGCTACTCTGCCAGGGCTGGAGAAGCCTTGCGCAGTTGGTTTGCATTTGAATTTTCAGCCCGAGAGACATTTTGGGTAAATGTTGCGCATAGAAAATCATATATAAACATATTTAGTCGACAAATGTTTAGCAAGTATGTCCAGATGTTTTTGTTGAAACCGTTAGCATCCTAGCTGGTATTGGTACGATTGGTTGGTATTAACAGTAGGCGATTTTCAAAACGCGCCTGATCCCTTTGGAAGAAAGTGGCTAAAATAAGTGGAGACGTCTGACCATGGCTTCTAAGTGCTCATCTAGGACCCGTTTTTCCTTGGTCTCTAGCCATGCGCTTGCACACTGGGACAAAGTTAACTCCCTTCAAAGGGCGAGGTGCCCCCAACTGACGGAAGTCGCTGGGTCTTAGGTGGAAACAGCCTGTTTCGGGATGCCAGAAGTCCTGACCCCTTACCCAGACCTTTGTCTGAAAGGGCAGTTCGGCCGGTGCCGGGTCGCAGAGAAATGCAACTGTGTAAAGGGTGTGGAGACTATGAGAGGAGGGAGAAGCGAGAATCTGCTTCACCGGTCTCGGAAAGGCCGATTAGCCGTGGGACGTGGGGACAAACCGCCGCGGCGTGGTGGGGGAGAGAGAAGGGCCCCTCTGTCTTTCCCCGGAGGAAACAGGGCAGGGCGCGGGGTGCCTTCGCTAGGTTCAGTAGCTGCCACCCCAGTGGATGGCAGAAGCTCGCGCTGCAAAGGGCTTCTCTCGGAGGCGGCGGAGCTGGCAGTCTCGGCAGAAGGCAACCCGGACACGCACGCGCGCCCCGGCTCTGCGCCGGCCCATCCCCACGCGCGTCCTACTGGCGGTGCCCGAACGCCAACAGATGTTTATCGCCTAGAGCGGGTTCTGCCGAGACTGAGCGACCTGCGCGGCGCACTGCGCGGCGCTGGCGGGGCTCTGGGCTCCCGGTCGGGGGTACAGGCGGCCCCCAGGGAGAGGGAGGGAGTGGAAGGAGGAGGGGGAGAGGGTGGACTAATGATGAAAAAGTCTCCTCCATCCTGGCTCCTTAATTAAATGCATGGAAAGAACCGAGGCAAGCACATCTGGTTTCAATCTGCAGCCCTTTGATGGCATCAAATGTTCTTTTCCCAGATCAGGGCTGGAAGTTCTGGGCTAACTATGCCGTTTGGAGCCCAGAAACCATTTACACACACTCGGACTCTTCTTTCTCTTAAATCGACCCTCTCGGCTATAGGAGGGGAAAAAAATCTAGCAATCAAGGGAGTAAGGAGTGTGTGTGTGTGTGTGTGTGTGTGTGTGTGTGTGTAGTTAAAGAACATGAAACGCTATAAATAAGCATGCAATATTTCACTTACTAGTCATATAGTAACTCATTTCTAATGAGACTATTAAAGCTGTTACCAAATTCAGGTCATGAAAAAAAAAAAAAAAAACTGCTCAGCACCTCTCTGTCCTCTCTCAGGGCTCAGCAGACGACGACAGAGCTTTGTGCGTGGCCGCGGAGGTGCCTTCGTGGTGGGGGTGCCTTCGTCCTGCTCTCTAACCCGGACCGCAACCTGGCCGGACGCAGAGCAGCGCTGTAGCCTAACGGTACAGCTCGCCCCGGACGTGCTCCTGTCAGCTCCGAATTTGGGCAGTGGGACCCTCTGGGCTTAGTGTCGTCGCAAGAGGAAGCGATCTCGGCATACCAAAAAGTTTTCAAAAATGGCAGGATTGAGGGGACGGTTGACATACTTCTAGAGTCCTTTCCTTCAACTAAATAAATCTTTAAATTTTCTATTGCCTTTGGCCCCGAGATTCCTAACCGCAGGGATAACCACGAATCGATTTGGTGCCTTCTAGTCCCGGATCTGTATTCGGTGCGCAGGAAAAGCATGGGAGAGCCTCCCATTATTATCGCTCTTGTTATTTTATTACATTTTTAATAGGCTGTCTCTACTGAGCAGACTAATATGCTTGCTCTCTCGCTCGCTCGTTCTGACTCTCTCTGAACTTCCCCCCCTCCCGCCAACTATTAGAACAACAGAAAACGTTAAAAGGGGGAAGAACAGAAGGAAAAGAAAATTTGTGATAGTCGTGGATTTTTTTCCCCAACAAGTTTCCCTGTAGTTGTTATCAAAACATGCAAATGAGATTTTCCAACAGGATCTTAAACAAATCTGGAGGAGTTAATACCGAAGCAAAATAATCAGCCCGTTTGAAGTGACTGTGGGTTTCAGTTTGTCTTCTCTCCCCGTGATACTATTGCAGGGGAATGATAATTAGACCTTACTTTATAAATCCAAAGGGGCTCTCTCATTCCCTTCCCTCCCTCTTCTCTCCCTCCTCCCTCCCTCTCTCTCTCTTGCTCCTTCCCTCTCCTTTCTCTCTGGCTCTGATGTTGGCAAAGGGGGTTTTCTTAATCAGACTGTTTTTTTGGTCAGAGGGAAAGGAGGAAGAAGGAGATTGTGATGGAGAAAGGGGGTCTGTAAAACGTCAGGCGCGCACAAAGGCTTTGCCACGTAATTACAGGCTCCTATTAAGTCGAGATCTGCCCTC